TATATATATATATATATATTCAGTTGTATGGATATCAGTTTGTGACACTGGGTTTTTTGCTTTTGCGATCATCAGACAGAAAAGGAAAACTTATTTTAGCCAAAGCATTTTGTCCGTGGGACTTTATCAAGGCAAATGCAAGGATTTTATTTTGTAGCAAATATTTATATACAAGAGAAAAAATATTACTAATTTAAAATTTTTTTTTCAATATAAGAACGCTCATGAATATTCATCAAGTGATCCGAAAGGTCTAGGCAAGATATGAATGGCGCCAAGTGACACAATTCAGAATCATAGAATTTTGCCTTAATCCTTGCATTTGCGTCAGACGAAACGCGTCGTCTAAGATAAGTTTGACTTTGGTCTTTATTTATATTTTCCTTTTACAGATATACTCTAACTGAAATTTGACACACACACACACACACACACATATATATATATATATATGAGTAATAGTATATTGTAATTAATGATTAGTTAATACAATAATTTCCAATCTATCTATCTATCTATCTATCTATCTATCTATCTAAATCGGCTTCCGATCTATTTAAATCGGCTCATATCTGTTCATCTATCTAAATCGGTTTCTATCTATCTATCTATCTATCTATCTATCTATGTCAGTCTCTTCTTTATCTATCTATCTATCTATCTATGTCAGTCTCTTCTTTATCTATCTATGTATCTATCAATCTGATATATATTCTAAATTTTAAGGAAACAATTTTTAAAGCTAAAATTTAAATCCCATTTCTCATCTGATTTTTTTTCATTAATTTTCTTTCTGTTTTAACGAATTTGGTGTTTGAATTTCTGAAGAAAATTTCCTAAACTTGAAAACGTGTGAATAGGCGATTAAATGACTGTGTGAATAGGCGATTAAATGACTGTGTGTATAATTGAACTAATAATTCTTTTTATTATCATTGAGCCTTAGACAGTCGTTGGTTTTTGTTCATTGTGTTTCGGCGCCGCCCTCATGAGGCGTATAGAAAGCCTTCAAGACACATTGGCAGTCACGCCTTTTACACATCGCATAATTGCAACTCTGGGTTTTGTTCACTTTCGGGAAGACTAACGATGAGAAGGCTGCGATAAACCAAGTAAACAAATCACCAGAAAATTTTCTTCAAATACCCGATATTTTTTCAAAGCGTTCTTTTCTTATTATATGTCCAAGAAATCAGAATTGTCTAAGCAAATAAAAAGTCATCTACTTTGTTTGGCTTGAGACACCCAGTCATTGATCTGCAAGAGGCATTTAAGGCAGTGTTGATTTTCTGCTCCTCACTGGTGAGGCATATTCTGCTGTAGAGTAGCAAAAGGCTGTGGTACATATTCTTCTAACATTGGCACCTCATTTGATATTAGCCAGCCTCTTTTAGATAGGTTACGCGCTACTTTCCTCTGTCGGCCTTGCCTTCAGTATAACCTGTATCATATTCTCCAGATATTCTTTCCTCATTATGTGTCCTAGAAATCAGAATTGTCTCTGATTCTAAGTAAAAGCATTCTTTTTCTTTCCATTTTCCTTAAAACTTCATCATTGCTCACATGTTCAGTCCATGATATTCTCAGCATCCTTCTATTTGATGCAAAAGATGATTTATAAAATCTAACTAGGATCTGAAATAACTTTAGAGTAAATCACTCAAGTGAAATGTAATTTCTATTGAGGAAAAAAGTAGCTTCATTGAACGTTTTGTTTGTTCTGAAACAATATATATTTGTATATTTCTGATTATATAATTATATATTTGTATATTTCTGAAACATTTCTTGGATGAAGCATTGTCTGTTGTTAATTTATCAACTAATATTTCTTTTAACTTCTTATCAGTTGATTTTCATGACAACTCAGAGGGTTCACTTGGTAATGATAGAATGTCACTAGTTTGGTTTCCTGAAGAATTATATTGAAAACTTCTTGGTTTTACCAATTCCTGTTGATCTTTATAAAATAAAGTTCCTGTTAGACAAATTTGCTAGAATGGGAAAACCAACATTTCCATGTGTGTATACCTTAGATATCAATATTTTCATATGCTTTCTCCATGGAAATCTCACAATCCACTGAATGTGATTTCTTTGGTAATAGGCCACATTTTGGCACGAATACCTATGTACTATCATCATAGCTCTCCACATCTTCCTATCCTCCATAGATCTTAGCAAGGATTGTCTTTTTTTAGTATCCCACCACCTCCCTGTTCTGCCATCCAAGCTCCATTAGGCAGGTTAATCACTGCTTTCATCTGTCCCTCTTGAGTGTCAAACTTGTTCAGGCCTTATATTAGCACTTTTTTCTTTGTGTCTAACAAAATTTTCCTGTTTTCCAATTTGCATTCAGGTTTCAGTCACATTTTCCAAAACACTTTCCAGATATTTAAATGTTTGTATTTGTTTGCTTTTGGCATCTCCAATTCATAGTTCATATCTTGGGCTTTTTCTCTTGCTGACAATCATATATTCTGTCTTCTCGTCTTGTCTAGATAATCATTATGCTTTCCTCTCTATATATGGTCATGTTTATGTGTCCGTGCCAGTCAAATAGTATAGGTTATAATTATTTACAAAGAAAAAAGGTAGTGAAGGAAAGCGGGAAGAAAGGACTAAGCATCAATTGCACGAAGATAGAATGCAGGGTTGTTAGAAAAAGGGACAACCTAACATGCAAATTACAAATTGGGAATACTAACAAGTATTCGGGACAAATAATGATGTTGAATGTATAATGGCTCAGAATTGTTAATTGGAGAGCCGGGTTCCAATTCCCATTGGGTTCGTTATATTCACTTACGCGTAAAATACCATTGAGGAAGGTATGAATCCATCTCATTAGCCCACCTTGTATTCCCAAGCAATCTTCAACTTCAGTGATCGTATAGGAACTGGTGTTTCAACGTGATATGGCTATAAGCTTTATATATATATACACACACACACACACATATATATGCACACACACACACACACACATATATATATATGCACACATACACACACACATATATATGCACACACACACACACACATATATGCACACACACACACACACACACACACACATATATAAAATATAAAAGTGAACATTGAAGTCAACACTCCGAGGCGACAGACTGTTTCATGCTAGACGCAATCGTCAGGCTGCCTGACGATTGCGTCTAGCATCAAACAGCCTCTCGCCTCGGAGTGTTGACTTCAATGTTCACTTTTATATTTATATTTACATACGCCCTATATCTAATATTGAGCAATTTATCCCATAAATATAGCACACCTTAAAACTATATTTCTTCATATATATACATATATATATTCATAGAGTTTTGGAATAGGCAGTGAGTGGTACTCTAAAATTCATAATAACGCTAGTAGTCATTGGAGGCTGAACTTATTCTCATGTTGACTTAGAAGTGGGAAAATAGAGTTTCATCCTGTCACCACCCCGCACTATTCTGACAAGATATCATTAAAACTGAGTTAGAACAGAAGTTTGTAAATTTAAGGTTCATGCCTTTCTCATTAGAAGTTGCAAAAAATAACAGAAAGTACCACCAAATACAAAAATTATTGCCTTTAAATCAATCTCTTTACAACATTTAACGCTCTAACTTTGGGTGGCAACCAATCTAAGAGAAGGAAAACTTCGAAAATCGCGAAGAAAGCAACGAGAAGCCACATTTTTTGCCAAGAGTGCATCGTAGTTCCCAGATAAGAAAGAAAAAGAATCTATGGAGAATAATGATTTCCTACGTCCAGAAGGTACATGGCATTAATATATTTAATTGTGGTGTCATTTGGAGCAGTACAGGTGCAAGGGTTTTATGCGCTCGTGAATCTATGATACGGGGACCCTACTTTACTACATATCAATTTTCATAAGAAAGTATTTTATTGTAATTATAATTATGTACAATAATGGATCATATTAAATATAGACGAACAATTCAACTAAAAATTGAAAATAAATACAGTGCATCTAAATACAAATTAGTGACATGATAAATAGATCATTCCATTCTGTTTTAAATAAATCAAATGTTTTGCGGAAATTTTTAACATCAACTTGAGTTTTTTTTTTATCTTGTTAAAAACTTAATTTAGTACATTTAACATTATAGATTTAAAATTGTATATAATGTTTTTTTTTCGTGACTTAACATGAGCAAAACAAATTCACGGATTTGGACCTAAAAAAGATCCCAGAATGACGTCAAAATCCGCAAAAAATTTTTTAATCCTTTAATAGTCAGTTGTTTTTCGTTTAATTTGTAACGTATATAAATATAGGCAGAAAAAAAGGAAACGTTGATAATATAACGAGTCATAAAACACTACGTAAAACCCCCAGTCGGGCTTGCTCCCCCGATCATGGGGTTTCGGGGTCGTAAGATTGGGAGACGTCTTTTCCAAACAGGGGGTGTGTATCATCAGTGACCTGTACACCTATACCTATCAAAACCAAACGATCAAAGTATAAGATGCAGGGTATTTTTTACATAGCAGAGTACACCACAAGTCTAACTTGGGCGTGGAGGAGTAATAAATACGGAATATTGGGCATTGAATGACGTCTTCCGATTGAGTAGGTACTGTCTGCCTTGAAAAACATTATTTTAAGACCTGACTTTCAACTGGGATTGAACACTGACCTCTGGAGTGCGTTGGGAATGTACAAGTCTTACATGTCTGAGCTAGGCCATTATAACATTTATTGATAGGTAGATACAATGACGGCCGGTATTTGAGCATATTGCTAGATGTATATGTCTTATACTCAAGTTGCGTTTCAAATTTCCGACGCCGACAGAATGTGTGACATTCCGTTTAACATCGACGTGCAAGTCGGAAAGCGATACATATCAAAACAACGGAAAGGTGCGAATCGTCTCTGACCCTACACGGAAGATCACACGTCTACGTGTAAAGAAGACCACCCGTAGCTGAATTTGCTAAGAACTTTTGCAAATATCACAACTAAAACCTAATTATAGGCTAATAGAACTAATAAAAATGACAGCTATGGTCTGATAGTATTTGAGCTGAGTGAAGAGGCACAATTTCGACATAGAAAAAATTATCTTTTTGAAAAGGAAGGATAGAGAGAAAATGAGAGAGAGAGAAAGAGTGGGAGAGAGAGAGTTGGGGAGAGAGAGATGGTCGCAGCTGGTGATTTTCAATGAAAGGAAATAACAAAAGTTGTTTTGAAGATGTTTGGTAGTCTGATACAAGATGAAAGAAGACAGGGATAGATACATCAATGGAAAGACTGATATATATGAGAGAGAGAGAGAGAGAGAGAGATAGATAGATATGGACACACAGACATGCAGACAGATAGATAGCTATGAGAAGATTGGGATAGATAGATATAAACAGACCATTACATAGATAGATAGATAGATAGATAGATAGATAGATAGATATGAACAGACATATACATCGATATGAACAGAATAACAAATAGATGGATAGATATGGACAGACTGACATAGATAGATTTGAAGAAACTCGGATAGATATATTTGAAGGCACTCAGATAGATAGATAGATAGATATAAACAAACTATTACATAGATAGATAGATAGATAGATAGATAGATAGATGTTATTTGGCGTGAAACAATTGTCAGGAAAACCATCTTCCGTAATTGTGTATTCTGTTAATGTAGCCTTGTGTTGTTTTATGCTAAAACAAAGAGAAAGAGAGGAATGGTATGGGCGAAAAGTGATGGTGGTATAATAGAAAGGGAGGAAATGCAGTGAAAGATATATATAAATATATATATATATATATATATATATATATATATATATATAGAGAGAGAGAGAGATATAGATAGATAGATAGATAGAGTAAGTGTGTGTGTGAGAGAGAGAGAGAGAGAGAGAGAGAGAGAGAGAGAGAGAGAGAGAGAATGGAGACTATTGCAAAAAAGCAATTTTGGAGTTGACGTTTTCCTGGTTTGAGCGTGACAAGTAAACACCTTGCAGAACTGACGGAAATTATTTATTTACCCATAGGTCAAGCCAAATGGTTTCGAGAGAAGTGGCATATATATATATATATATATATATATATATATATATATATATATATCGAAAGAGAGAGAGATAATCACCTGTTACTGTTTATTTCTCTTGATTCTTTCTCTTGAGATGGCTAAAATGGAAGTCTTCAGAAGTTAACACATTCGACACTGATTCCTATTTTGTTACTGTGATAGCAGGCTTTACTGTTGGCTGATGGCTAGTAAACTGGTCTCACGAATTTCATTGTTTTGTGTAGTCGATAGTGAGTAACGAGTTTGATCCTAAGATTAAACCTCGTCAACAAGTTTATTACTGTTACAGTATCATATGAATAAAGCTATGGTGGTAGTAATGTTGATAATATTAGCAGTTTTCTTATAAGGAAAAAATTCGACATTCATTGACCAAATATCTAGTGTTTCTTCTTCTATGTGCCGTATCCCTTCAGGATGTAAGCGATCATGGTCCTCCACATCTTCCTGCCCACTGTAGCTCTTCTTTTGGTTGTTCTACTATCCATTTACTCAAGCCCATCAAGTATGTTACGCACTGCTTTCTTCTGTTTCGCTTTCCCTCAATCTGTCCTGTGAGTATTAGATTTGCCAAGTCCTCCTCTCTCATTACGCGCGTCAGAAATTTCAACTGCCTCTTCCTGATGTTGAGAATAAGTTTATCTTTTGTTTCCATTTTCTTTCAAACTTCATCGTTGCTCACATGTTCGGTCTATGGTATACTCAGTATCCTTCGGTAGAACCATATTTCTGTCGCTTTACGTCTCTTCTTCATCTTTGAGAAGACTGTCCAGCGTTCGCTGCCATATAAGAGGACAGTACTTCAGTTCAGTACTTTTTTCTTTGTTTCTAACAACATTTTTCTGTTTCTTAATACTCTGCTTAGCTTTTGGAATGCATCTTTGGCCATCCCAATATGTCTTCGGATTTCAGTGTCGGACTTTCGTTGCTCTGTTAAAACACTTCACAGATATTTAGATTTTTGTATTTGTTTGATGTTAGTATCCTCGAATTGTATTTTGCATTTTCGGCTCATTCTTTGGCTGATAATCATACATTCTGTCTTCTTGTAGACAGTCTCTTCAAAGATTTTTTCAAGAAAATAAGTTCAGTTACTGTTATTGCTCTTCCCAGCAGTGATTGCGGACTTCTTTCCTAACCTTTTGTTCAAAATAGTGAATAACATTAGCATCTTAAGTAAGTTATTATTTTCCTTTTCAGTTACATGTGATATCTATTTTAGTTGTTACTGTTGTTTGAAAGCCAGCAAGAGATGTTGCTGTTATTTGGTACAATTCTTTTCTTTTGATTATGCAAGTGACTGTTCACGAAGTACATAGAGGGAGGGTTCATTCGCTTGAATCACCCTACTAGCTTTCCCATGGATGCATGGCAATTCACCGATAACAGAGAAAAGGAAACTGTGGAGAGCCATAATCGTTATCGTTCTGAAGGGATAAGGTATTAAAAAGATAAATATTTGTTATTTTGACCAAAATTAGATTCATTACATAGACAGCGGATTATAATCAACGCGGGCACAATGAGGACTGAGGTTGTTTTGTAGAGAAAGAAGTCTGGGATTGAAGCCGATATGTAGGTTAATAAGCGTATCGAATGGACGTGCTAAGGAAGTCTCACCAGTCACAAAATCAAATACATAATGGCGGTTTAAGCGCGATTACGTGTAGTGACAGCAGGGTTCCCAGAACAGCAACAATATTTCATGGGAACAAAACATCATGAGAAACAATTTTGTAGAAGATATAAGATTTTTTTTTACTCGTAACTGGAGATCTATCTTCTGAGCAAAAGCTTATCACGCCGTTTTATAAGAAAAAGGGAACCACAATTTTCAATTTAAGTTGTTAGGGCCAAGTTTCTTTCGATAATTTTGTGACGTTTGCCCCCCTCCAATAATCCCTTCTGCAAACGCATGCTCAGGCACATCTGTGTTTCTTCAACACTAACGCAGCCAAGGCTGTGGTTTATACTTTAACTATGCTGGCAGACAATAGTTATAGTTTGGCGTGAGTAACGTTTCTGAACAAGGTTAGTACACTAACAATAATAAATAAAACATCAGTCACGTTGACTTTTGACCTCACGCTGGAACAACAGCACCGTGTACCTAGTTTCACTCACAAGCCTGGATAATAAATCGTGGTATGTTTTCTTTTTCTAGCACTTCCCAGGACAATATTATCAAGAAGTCATCTTGAAAAACCAACCATGGTGGAATTCGAATGCAGGCCTTATGATCTGAACGCTAACATTATAAGGACTCGGTCACACACACACATATAAAGTCAAGGAATACTAGCCACTAATGTTACCATGGTTTCCACCAGTAATGTTTCTTCAGGCAGTAGAAGTTAATTGTATTTCCCGAAAGTCTTGAGAGAGAGAGAGAGAGAGAGAGAGAGAGAGAGAGAGAGAGAGAGAGAGATTGATAAAAATTAAGAATACTTAAATAAGTATAAAGCATATAAAATGTTTGCGCCATTTTAAATAATGTGGCCAGACAAGCATTGGACGGTCAGAAAAAATTGTTATGTCGGAAGCAACCATTCCGGCTAGTAATGTCAAAATAATGATGAAAACTAAGAATGTATGTGACGTCACAGTTCTTTAGTTTTTCCAGTTCGTTTCGGAGCGAAACAGAAACAAAAAGGCCATTGAATCAAAAAGAATGCATCAGACGCCGTAAAACATCTGTCAACCTTGATAAGCAATCAAATGTTTATAAAGGTAAGTAATAAACTAAATATATATATATATATATATATATATACACACACATATATATACGCACATACTGAGGATTATTTAAGAAGAATGAACCGATTTACTTACGAAATATCTTAATAATGAAAAGCAATAGAAAACTTCAACCAGATCATAAGTATTCTACTCACAATCCATTTTTATTTCCTGTCTTATAAGTGTTCAAAGTGGCCACCACCTTCATCACAGGCAACATCAATGCGATAACAGAATTCCTCCCAGACGCATATCAGCATATCACGATCCACTGAGTTGATTGCTGTTGTTATTCGATGTTTAAGGTCATCGAGGTGAATGGGTAGCGGTGCAACCTAAACGCGAATTTTTACGTATCCCCACAAGAAAAAGTTCACACACGTTGGGGTCTGGGGATATCGCAGGCCAAGCACAGAGAACAAGGTCTTGGTGAATGGCTGAACGAGGCGAAGTCTATAATGTTTCAAATGTAGACGTCTTAGCACACGCCATATAGTGGATTGAGAAATCGCAAGCTCACGGCTAGCTCGAGTCGTGGACCTCCCCCTTAAGCGCAGCATGGATTTTCGCCACTTGTTCCTCTGAAAATCGTGGTCGTCCTGAACTTTTTCCTTTACAGAGACACCCACTCTCTTAAAACTGTTTAACCGATCGCCGAATTGCCTCCGAAAGACACACTACACCGTGACAACCTTATTTGTTTTCGTGAACTCGAGAACGCAGAACGCCTTTTGCTGAGGATTCGCCATTCCGGGGTAAACAAACAACTGACGCGACTACAGCGCTCCTGTGGCAGCCATTCATTCAAAACTTAGAAAAGTCCTTCTTCAAATCGCCACTGACTCAATCGATGTTTGAGTACTAAACCAATGCATTTTGAATAACTTTCTCTCTATCTCTATATTTATTTATTTACATCTACCGGAATATTCGAGAGATCTTATTAGAAAAATATGCACACTATACAAAAGCACTATTTTGGCCTTGTTTGAACAGGACGTCCTATGTGGCTCTTATGACGGTTACCCCTAGGGGACGCAGGTTCGAATCCTTCCGGGGGTCGCATATTTTCCTAACAAGATTTATCGAATATTCAGGCCGGTAGATGTAAATAAATAAATATAGAGATTTCATAAAAAATAACGTTTAAACAAATGAAATAAAAATATGTCGGATTTAATTCATTTCCTAAAATATATATATATACTAGCTCAGGTGGCATTTAAGCTAAGTCTTCTGGAGGGCTCTTGATTGGGCCTCCATCACAGTAGGTAGGGAGGAGTAGATGCGATAGGCAACAATAAACCACAGAAGAACTAAAAACTGTTCACTGCATTTAAGTATTGCATTAATATTTAAGCTTACCTTTTAAAAGTTCAACGATAATTCTTTTATTTTCCCTTAATTTAAAGATAATTTGATGTACGTAGGTCCTTACTTTCCGAACAAACAATTTATTTTTATTCATGAGTAGCTTTTGTTGGATTTCACAATTAATTTAGATTATTCCCAAATATATTTCCAAGCAAAAAATCACGTAAAAAGTTTGTCGAAAACAAGGAAAACTTTGGAATCTAAAATTTCAAGATTCTAGGTCTGGATCCGACCCGGAATATTTAAATTTGCTCACGGAATCGGCCTGATTTCAAGATGGTATGACATGTTGGCTACGGCCTCTAGGAGAAACGTTGAAAATGTGTGACACACTGACATTCACATTTATAATATATATATATATATGTGTGTGTGTGTGTGTGTTGGTTGTGGATTAGCGATATATATTTTTTTTTACATGAAGAACAACTTGGTGACAAATATGTATGCCAAAGTGGAGACAAAGTTTTCGTGTGACGCGTTTCGTCCTTTCGTACATTCAACGGACTAAATTTGTTTCCGTTGATGCAACTACACATGCGCACGAACGAGGCATGCTGGGAATAATTTAAAATTTAGAATTCCCAGCATCTCTCATATGTGCGCATGTGTATTCACACCGACGTAATCAAATTTAATCATACACCTCCCTAGCACAAAATATATATGATAAAATATAGTTTTTTAGTTATGCCCTATTTATCATTAAAAGGTGCTCAGTATTAGAGATAGAGCATACGTAAATATAAAAGTGGAAACTGGGGTCAACACTTAGCGGCGACAGTCTGTTTCATTCGAACGCAATCTTTTGATTTTATGACCGTGTTCAAGCATGAAACAGACTGTCGCCGCTCGGTTTTGATATCAGTGTACCCTTTTATATGTATATATATGTGTGTGTGTGTGCACTTTATATATATATATATATATATATATATGTGTGTGTGTGTGTTGTGGTGTCCTCCCTCTAAAGAGTCTATGTTGCACTCTTCCGCCTACTATAAGATTAGTAGGAGAGAAGGCCTTGGGAGGACAGTTGAATGGATTGAACGCTGGTTGAACGCTGGGTCAACCGACACACATTCACTTGTCATGTAATACTCTTCTGTTGTGCTTACTCTTTAATATCTGTCTATATTTCTGAGATGAGGTGTTAAGTACAATATTTGCATTATTCGGACTATTGTCTTCATCTATGTCGCCATATTTATTTCAATGTTTCGGACGTTGTACGTAGGTGGTTGAAATGTCGAACTGAACCCTTTATTTCGCTCACTGGGCTAAACTGTTCTAGTTCCACGTGCCATGTTTTAATGGATGTCAGTTATCAGTTATCTTCTGTTAATTTCTCTTGGAAATTCTCCACTGCCTTAACCGGGTATTGAACTCACACTCTTTGGGTCCTGTCACTGGGTCTAACCAACGCCTTTATCCACTGTGCCATGTGTAATATATGGTATATCTGCAACACTGATTTTGTTATTTCTTCAACCATTTACTTGGTCACAAGTGTATATTTACAAGCGGAACTGAAAAATTCTCAATCATACCTATTATTAAAATCAGTAATTCAATGAGCACTATCAAAATGTTTTCGGGAATAACTTTAGAGAAGATAAAAGAAAATGTGTCAATACGTAAGGTGAATAGAGGCTGACCATCCCGAAATAGCTAAACATTTTAACAGCTGATGACACAATTTTCATTTCTTTTCAAATTACATCATTAAAAATAATGACGACAGCCAGGATAAGCTGTGAACAAAGTTGAAGTGCGGAGACAGGAGGGAGTTTCAAACAGAACTACCGACGTTACTTACTACCACTCGATTTCGAGATAATTTTGAAGGAGATGGGGCTATTCAGAATGTCTACGTGAAACATTTCAGAAGACTGGTCAACGACAAAACCGCACAAAGTAAGAAAGGATGCTTGAAACGTAACGCTAGAATTCAAGAAAATCGCATTTTGAATTTGTCTCAATTTTTTTGCCAGAATCTATTTTACACATTTATAAGTCTACCATTCGTTCATTGAATATTGTTGCCAAATCTGGTTTGGTGCTATTGCTATACAGTTAGAGATTCTTCATAAAATCCAAAGAAGAATCTGCAATGTTATTGGTTCTGACCTTGCATCTCGGCTTCAGTCACTTTCTCAGCGCCGTAACGTAGCTTCCACGTGTCTTTTCTAGAAATACTTTCATGGTACTAGATTGACGGCAAGGGGTCTCATCATTTTACAGATGAAATGGCGTGATGTAACCGTAAGTTCTATGCTAACATTTTCTTCTTTCGACCTTCTCGCGTGGGGAACTCTCTTACGGCCTCTTGCTTTCCAGTCAACTTTGATCTTGAAAAATTTAAATGCAATGTCAATCATTATGTCCTTTCTTCTTAATTCCTGTACTTTTATTGTTCTATTGCCTTAATAATGTTTTTCTTTTTCTCATATTTTTCACACTGAGTAACCTCTTGTGTCTTAGTGGCTTTATTGCCTTGATTGGGGTGAAATGATTAAAAAAAATAAAAAAGTTACATTCCAAAACTAGTCTCTGTCCGCAGTGTATATGATCCATATTTTTAGGAAAAAAAAAGGCTTTGTTTATGTTTGAATACGAAACTGAGCGGATATGAACCATTTCGATAAGTCCATGACGCGAGGAGTTTAGCTTATAGGCGCTATTCAGCCATGTATAACCGATTAAGTTTTCCGTTGGTTAAATACTTAGTCAGTTAGAGCCCGATCAATCTAATGGCGATTCCTTCTCCCCATATATATATATATATATATATATATATATATATATATATATATATATATATACATACACAGAGATATATATATATATATATATAGAGAGAGAGAGAAAGAGAAAAATGAGAAAAAAAAATAAGAATGTAAGGCAAAACAGTGTAACGAAATGGTTTATGAAGAGAAGGAAGGAAAACGCAAAAAAAACATCTAGGGAAATTAGCTTGCAGCAAGAAGATGAAGAAAACGAATAAAAAGCAAAGCAAAAAAAGATATATATGTGTGTGTGTGTATGTGTGTGTATGGCGTATATGTGTGTGCATGGGTATGTGTGCGTGTTTACTCCCATCTCCTAATGTTAAACCAACAATTCTATGCAATCATTTATCCTTCAGGATACAAGTGTGTAATATTTAACCACAAATTGACGGTGTAGTTATGGGTTCGCCACTTGGTTCTACTTTATTTCATTTTTACATGGCTCACATAAAAAACATTATTTTTTTGAAACCAATATATTCGACATATTAATGGCATGTTCATATTAACGAAAACCCAAGAAGAAATAAAAAAAATAATAAAAGTTATAGAAACCTTTGAGAGAATTTCTGCTTCATATTTGACTTAAGAAATTACCATTAATAACAGAATGTCTTGACATTTTAGTATACGATAGTAGACGTCATTTTAGTACATCACTTTATAAAAAACCACAAGCCAAAATGATTTGCTTAATTACGAAAATGAATGTTCTCTCTCTCTCACACACACAAATATATATATATATATATATATATATATTATGTATATTTGAACAGCAGCTTCTTATTGCAAACATGTTTCGTTTAATATGACAGACAAGGAAAATTTTATTAAGTATTTATCTAGTATTCTAAAAAATGTCCGTAGAGTCTATTGTTCGATGCGCTTTCAGTCAGTTCTTTACACATTTTCAGAGGCGGGGGTGGTGGTTGTTATTAATTACTGTTAATTTCTTTTCACTGCTGCCTTTTAAGATGTAATTGTGTGATGCATATATATATATATATATATATATATATATATATAATATATATATAATATATGGATATAGATCCGACAGTATGAAGAAAAATATACTGAAAAAACAAACAAAAATCCTAATATGTGATTATGCTGTTTTTATATTTAATGTCAACGTCGGACGTTTCGGTCTAATAGACAATCTTCAGGACACATTCATAGAACATAATTAACATAGACCATATACAATTCAACATGAAAAAGACGATGGACATAAAAGCAATACCAATCCAAACAGATAACTGAAATGTCCATCGTCTTTTTCATGTTGAATTGTATATGGTCTATGTTAATTATATTTTATGAATGTGTCCTGAAGATTGTCTATTAGACCGAAACGTCCGACGTTGACATTAAACATTAAAACAGCATAATCATATATTAGGATTTTGTTTGTTTTTTCAGTATATTTTTCTTCATATATATATATATATATATATATATATATATATATATATATATATATATATATATATATATATATATGTAGGAAGATCCGATAGGAAGAATTAGTTGAATTTTCTAGGGCATATGATGAAGAAAGAGGCAAAAAAGACCGTAGCAAAACAGCACATAACATACTTAGCGTGCCCGTGAAAATGAATGACGGAACAGAGTTTAGAAGAAAGAACAAAGACGGAATTTTTATAAGAGGACAGGACACATGAAGAAGTAGAAATCAGAGGAAATACTCTGTAAGTAGAAATTAAATTTTATTTTAATTTAAAACAAAAGGTGAGCAACGACGAATTTTTTAGAGAAAATGGAAACCAAAAGGAAACTTTATACTTAACATCAGGAAGTTTCTGGGGTACATAATGAGGAAAGAGGGCTTGGAAAATTTGATACTCACAGGATTGAAGGCAAGAGGGACAGAAGAAAACAACGTATAACCTACTTAGTGAGCTTGAGTAAATTCATTTCCATCTAATATAAAAACTAAAAATAAAAGAATATATACATATATAATGTGTGTGTTTGTAGAGAGAGAGAAAGAGAGAGGGAGAGAAAGAAAGAAAGAGAGAGAGAAATAAAGAGAGTAAGAAAGAAAGAAAGAAAGAGAGAGAGAGAGAAATAAAGAGAGTAAGAAAGAAAGAAAGAAAGAAAGAAAGAAAGAGAGAAATAAAGAGAGAAAGAAAGAAAGAAAGAGTAAGTATGTGACTTTTTATGGATTGTGTTTTATTGAAATGTTTTGATTTCAACTACACACGTGTGCTTAGAAGCAAAGTTAAGCTGACATTGTTATTCATGGGTTGATGAAAGGGGACGAAGGGAAAGGCGCATATTTGACATTCTACAGTTTCGCTTTCTTGCGAAAAGGGAATGTCTTTACCGGCTTGGCGCCGTGGGTGGAGCTATGCGTGCAGAGGTCAGTGGAGAGGATGGGCTGGGTTTATCAGTTAAATTTTACAGAGAATGCAAACACAGCAGAATCTTCATTACGTGTAAAGGAAGAGGTTCGGAAAAAGGCTTGAATTTAACAAAGATGGAAAATATTGAGAGAAACGTAATAGCACAAATATATCTATACCTGTTAGCCAAATTAATAGGGGAGTTTTTAACAATTTTCAGTAGTGTAAGGATTATCTGAACGAAAGATCGAACCCAGGTTCAACTTGATACTATATATATATATATATATATATATATATATATATATATAGATAGATATATATATATATAGATAGATTCTTCGAGTTCTCCAGTCACTGGCGGGTTTATCTAAAAATAAATACATTAATAAATTCACCTTCATCTCTGCCTTGCGTCAGTGGTTTAGGGGTAGGGTCTCCGATCCCCGGCTTAAGCAGTTGGATGTCTAGCCACCCACACTGACGAGCTGCAAAAATAGTCTCTTCGTGGAAATGACTATATATATATATATATATATATATATATATATATATATATATATATATATATATATATATATATATATATATATATATAAACAGTCTCTCAGTGGATGACAATATATATAAAAAGTAATGACGTCCATTGTGTTTAAGTCTATTTTCTTCTTCTGTAGGTACAAGTCTTCGTTTGTATATATATATATATATATATATATATATATATATATATATATATAACTATATAAATATATATATATATATATATATATATATATATATATATATATATATATACAAACTAAGGCTTATATATATATATATAAACTAAAACTTTTATATATATATATATATATATATATATATATATATATATATATATATATATATATATATATATATACCTTCTGTAGGTACAAGTCTTTGTTTGTGTATATATATATATATATATATATATATATATATATATATACACTATTTACATCATTCGGACTGTTGTCCTCATCTTTATTTATTTTATTTTTTTTAGCGAGGACCAAGGCTTGGGGGCCGCATGATGTAGAGGGTTAGCTTTGTAGGCCATTTGTGTGCATATGGGCAGAAGATAACAGTTAACCCTAGCCTTGAACAGATTAAGATTCCAACGTATGAAGAAGGCCGGAGTGTACAGCGGCCAAACCGTTTGAATATGACAATAAAGTCGAGGACAACAGTCCGAATGATGTAAATAGTGTAAATAGTTATAATAACTCATCTAAGAAATATAGACATAAAAAAATATAATTAAATTTTATAAAAATAAATAGTGGGCGGTGATGGGGGGGGTGTTGAAGTGAGATTGTTGGGTAAATTCATTTGTAAACTGATCTCACTATAGAGGCCAGAACAATTATGTTCATATAATGTGATTTTTTAAAATTAAAAAATACATATATTTTTAAATTCATAATCTGTTGAATTTAATCAATAATAATATATGAAAAAAACAACTCCAGGTTATGAATTTCAAATTAATTTTATTTTACATTTTAAAACATCAAGTCATAGGAGCAAGTCTTGTTTTGGCTTCAGTGTTCTCTTGTACACACACACAAAAAAGATGACTGAATTTATTTTAAAAACGTCATTAGGCTAGTTTTTCATCAAACTTGTATTAACGAATGATTTCTGCACACATTATGTTTCATTTTTAACCGTTTTTTTTGCATGTGGATGAGCCTATTATACGAAAAACAGTATAAAATAATGAAGTCATTAATAATAAAAAAGAAGCTAACACTCAATAATATCAACTATGAACACGACTACAACGTGTCTGGCCGTGTTCGGATATTAATAAAAAAATATATACCTCACCCCTGGGGACTAAATAATGGGTTCTGTTCGAAATTCAGACGTATATTACGTGAAAAGTCGAAGCGTACAAGATTCCCATCCATATAGATACAAATATATAAAAAAATCTGAAAATTCAGTTAAAAACACAGCCTTGATAATGGTTAATAGATTAATCAAAGGCGGACGGACTCAGAACATTTGAACAGTTTTACACACTTTATGTCTAAAAAGAAAATACGAATACCAGAACAAATAAATAAAAAAGCTTAATCACAGTGTCTTGTCAGTCGTCATCAATGCAACTTCTATAAATGGAAGATTGCTTCACAAATACACAATTATGTATGCATGTATGTATGTATGTGTGTATATGTGTGTCGAAGGCAAGTTATTTTGACATCAGCCAGACTGTAAAATTTCTAAAACGAGAAAATAATTTTCTTTATGAAATTATTGGAAAATTCAGCGTTGTTCTAGCTTATGTCTTTATAGAATTTTTAGAATCCAACTCGTTTCAAAATATCTTAAAATATATTTACTCCAAAATGATGAATATTTTCAATATGATAAAAATTACAATTGCAAATATATATATATATATATATATTTAGAACGAGATTAGAACTATAGATATCCTTCTCTCTCTCTCTCTCTCTATATATATATATATATATATATATATATATATATATATATATATATATATATATATATAGAGAGAGAGAGATTTTAAAATATTTCATATATATATATATATATACATATATATATATATATATATATATAGAGAGAGAGAGAGATTTTAAAATATTTCATATATATGTATATATATATATAGAGAGAGAGATTTTAAAATATTTCACATATATATATATATATATATATATATATATAACTATTTCATAACAGATAACAATTTCAAATTTTAAGAAATATACAGATAATTTCATATATATATATATATATATATATATACATATACATATATATATATATATATATATATATATATATATATATATATATATATATATATATATATATATATATATATATATATATATATATATATATATATGTAATAGTTATGTGTGTGTATATATATATATATATATATATATATATACACACATAACTATTACATATATAGGTGTGTGTGTGCATGATTCTGTTAAACATTGAGGAAAATGAACGAATCAGAATCACACACACAGATATACATATATGAAATAGTGATATATATATATATATATATATATATATATGGTATATATATATATATATATATATATATATACTGTATATATATATATATATATACATATACATATATATATATATATAAGGGATATCTATCTATCTATCTATCTATCTATCTATCTCTATATATATTTAGGAATGTAACTTGTTTAAAATTTATATATATATATATATATATATATATATATATATATATATATATATATATATATAGGTAGTAATCCGTTGGTATATAATCCAAGTGAATACTATTAACACAATATAAAATATAATATATTAAAGCTGATTCACACACAGAACTCAATGTTTTTATAACAAACACACACACACACACACACACACACGCACATATATATATATATATATATAACATGTAAATGATCATTTTCACTTTGGGAAAAAAACGATAATAAACAAACCAAAAAGGCCTTAATAAGAAACTATAGAAATGCATATCATTGGTATTTGTCTATGTCTCTGAAATGAGGCATCATGATTACTAACATTATTTATTTATTTACATTATCCTCATTTGAATCAACTGAAGAAGCCCGGAGCCTGCCAAGGCCGAAACGTTGTGAATATGGCAATGAAAATGAGGATAACAGTTCTAATAATGTATATAATGTAAGTGATATAGCAATTGTATATAAAAACTGGTAAACAGTTTCTCTTCTTGGTCGACTGGTTTGAATGGCCGATGAATCAAATGCTGGGTGTTGAGGCGAGGGAAAATGTAAAAAGGGAGATAAATCTTTACAAAGATGTGTGTACACGTGTATATGTTATTAAGTACTGAGGCTTATGAGAGACAAAAAGTAAAAACACAATAAAAGTAAAAAACAAAACAAAAAACAAAAATAACTTTTTATTTGCGTAACAATATTTATTTCTCAACGTTATCTCTTTAATTCAGGAGTGAATTTTAATTAATAACAAATGATCGAATAGTATAGAGTAAAAATTTCAGATCAACTTCCAGTTAAGATCTAAATGACAATGATTCACTCATTTAGTCGGAGCTCAGAATTTACGAACCCCGACTCATATTATGGGCGTATGCCTACATTTATATACAGGTGTATTATGGGAAAAAATTTACTATGCTTATCGCTGTATATAAAGGCCAATTTTTTAGGGAAGACTTGTCCATAAATTATAAAAGCAAATGGAAAGAAAGCGAATAAATAAAGTTGTTATGAACTGAGAAAGACAAGTACATTTTTCCACCTCCAAGCAAGGCAATAAAGCCATTAAGACGCAAGAAGTTACTTATTATACAATGATCCTTTATATACAAGGACTTACAAATGTTCGGAAAATTTAAAGAGCGAAATGATGTTTTTTATTCTAATGGAAAAGTTAATATAAAACATCAGGCGAATATATATATATATATATATATATATATATATATGTATGTATGTATATGTATTGTGTATATTTAGGCAGCAATTTTTCATTCATGCATGTTTCATTAAATAACTCAAAGATTTTTCGGCATTTAAAACAACATGCCTGGCCGCGTACACAATTCCGGAAAATCCTTGTTGAAAACACAACTATACTTAAACATGAAAACAATAAACAAAAACTTAAAATTCTTGAAGCGAAATACATAAAACAGTTGAAACCTAACCTGAACAAAATAAACTACGAAATCTTCACAAATATTCTTAAAAGGCTGTAACTGATAACTGAAGCCATTAGTTTATACCAAGGGCTTACCATACTTAATACTTGTCATTTTCACTCTCGCATCATGTGTGACGTCACAAGCTGCGACGCGATTTTCGCTTCCGTGTCTCGTATACACGAGTTGTTGCTTTGAAATTTATCATAAAAACAAACAGACTATCATTATTGTTTCGTCCGTGTATTTGGCTGATATATTGAAAAGTAATTGTCATCTTTGATAATGGCTTATGTAAGCCGAAAGCTTAGATTGGATTTAAACATGTATCAATATTGTGATTTCCTTTCATCTTTCAATGATAATGTTATTAAACTTATCATATATATATATATATATATATATATATATATATATATATATATATATATATATATATATATATATATACACAGACATATATATATATATATTAACATATATATAAAATGTTTATACGTTATTTTTATAGATAGAAATAATCAAAATTTTGAACAATAAAAAATATTAAAAAATTAAAATCTTCAGACACACTGGGTTGTATATTAATATTCCTTCGTTTTTATTATTATTTCATTTAGATTCTTCGACTATTTTTGGCCAACATGGAAATCATTAGAAGAAAAATAATTTTCCGCTTGCTGGGAGAAGTGAACTACAGAAATGAATGTCTTGATGGAGAAAATGAACTTTTGTCTGTAGTTTTCATTTGTTTTTTTATTTTTTAACATGGATTTTGGTCAGAATTTGTGTTGGTCAAACAGTCTCTTTTAAGTTGTTATTTAAGATAAGAGCTGGATGGATTCATACTGCTCTGAATTCCCATTTTGACAGTTTTATTGGTTCCTGGAAAGGGGGTGTGTCTCTGTTAAGTGCGTGTGTGTTATTTGGTTCTTAGGGAGTGCGTGAGTACGATGTGTGTAAGCGTGTATATTACTATGAGTGTTTGTTATCATTTGGCTCATTAGGGAGTGAGTGAGTATGATGCGTGTATATGTGTATATTCGTATGGGTGTGTAACCCTAAACCATATATAAATATATATATATATATATATATATATATATATTATATGGTTTAAAAAAAACGTTTGAAGTGACTATATATATATATATATATATATATATATATATATATATATATATATGTTTAAGTCATAAAAACGTTTGAAGTGATTATATATATATATATATATATATATATATGTATATATATAGTTTAAGTCATAAAAACGTTTGAAGTGACTATATATATATATATATATATATATATATATATATATATATATATATGGTTTAAGTCATAAAAAACGTTTGAAGTGATTATATATATATATATATATATATATATATATATATATATATATAATATACATAATATCTAACGCCAGAGTTTAATACAGTTATTCACTATGAGTAGTGTTATCGACGTTGGATATTATGTATATTTACTAATATATACTTATAGCTCTGCTCCATAAAATTGAGCACTGCATTTATAACACCTGAAGAATAAATATACCGACGTGCGTGCGACTATTTGTGAGTGTATGTACATTTTTTCCTACCTATTTCTATAGTTTAGTGCTAACAGCAAGCAGAAATATTTCTCTTCCTGATGATGGCCATTTGGGTCGAAACTACTCGAGGAATCTAAACGGAATAATAATAATAAAAAAAACGAAAGAATATTAATCTACAACCCAGTGTGTCTAAAGATTTTAATTTTTTAATTTTTTTTATTGTTCAATATATATATATATAACGTATGAAGTAATATATATATAGTTTACAGGGAAAATAGGAGAAAAGAAAAAGATTTACTTAAAAATACAAAACAAAATGAACACTGAATTGAAAACAATTAAAAGAAATAAATGTAAAAAGAACAAAATTCAAAATGAAAAAATTGGAAAAAGAAAAAGAGAGAAAAAGAAAAAAGAGAAAAGACAAAAAGAAAAGGAAAATGTGGAAAAAATAAAAACAAGAGATAAAGAGAAAAGAGAAAAAACAAAAAGAAAAGAAAAAAAAGGAAAAATGGGAAAAGAAAAAAGACAGAAGAAATAAAGAAAAATAAGGAAAAAAGGAAAATAAAAAATGAAAAAAGAAAAAGCAAAGAAAAAAAGCTAATCGTTAATTATTACATAATTATTTCTATACATAATTTATTACTGCATTATTTGATATATAATTACAGAATATGAATTATATATTAATATTGAAATTTACTGTTCATACTTAACCTGATATCTAAAGAAATACATTTTCGTTAACATGAAATGTTTGTTGATGCAGTTTTAGAAAAATGCCATTTTCATATCTATTTGTAAAAATTGGAGGAAAAACTAAAGAATAATAATAATTTTTGCACATATTAATGGAAGATAAAATGGGGGAAAAAAAAGATTGGTTAATCATTGATCCACCATGTCCTTTTGATACAAGGTTTGAGTAAAAGGAAGAAGAGAAAGTAATCAATTTTGACCCATTGAAGTTTGAACTCGCAAGGCTTTGAAGGCTGAAGGTTATGATCATACCAGTTGTTATTGGTGCGTTTGCTACGGTGACTAAGAGAATAGTTCCCTGGATAAATAAAATTGGCATTGATTGCCCAGCGAAACTATTGCAGATAGGAAATCTATTAGGAACGGCAAGAATAATCCGGAAAGTGATGAACGCTTAGATTCAGGGGAAAATTACTGTTGGTCTTCGCCTGCTATTCATGCGTTAATTAGCAGATATTAAGTTGTTATCTGTGAAAATACTATTACTACTACTACTACTATTACTACTACTACTACTTCTACTACTACTACTACTTCTACTAATACTACAAACAAAAATGTTTTCTCATAAAAATTGCTGTGCCATCAGATAAAATATATATCGGTTAGCTGATATAACAAAATAATGAAATTCAAGGAACTTGAGATTAAAATAGAAAAATAAGAAAGTTGATTCTAATAAAAAAGGTACAAGCAATAACATTTAAAAGATCGTTTGTAGTCGCCCACCCCACCAACCTGTTTACAAAAGATTCAAAACATTGTTCTGTGTGGAACTGTTCAATACTATGTGAAGAAAATATAAACTCTGTATTTATTAAGTATCATTAGCATCAAAATTTCTGCAAACAATGCATAAAGGGCCGGTGCGTACTACCCCCGAATCTCCGATTGATTTGGGGCCCCGCGAACTACTTTGTGACTCTCACAATATTATCAACACTTCCATTTTGTTTTTATACCTATACGTTACAAATTAAATTAAGTACAACTGACTGTCAAAGAATAAGAAATTTTCGCAGATTTTGACGTCATTCTGGGGTCTTTTTTTTTTCGTCCAAATCTGTGAATTTGTTTTGCTCATGCTAAGTCACGAAAAAAACACTCAATATAAAATTCACTTTTTTTTTTTATTCATAACGTTCAATGGGTTAAAATTATTCAACTTATTAACAAGAAAAATCTCAAGTTGATGTTAAAAATTGTCGCAAAACATTTATTTAAACTGATCTGTTGTTTCGAATTGGTATTTAGATACATTGCATTTATTTTTAATTTTTCTAGTTGGATTGTTCGCTTATATTGCATATTGTCCATTATTGTACATAATTAGATTACAATATAAAGTTTGTATTTTATGAGAATACTGCCTTTTGTGAAAATTGAGATGTAGTAAAATGGGAGGCCCCGTATCATAGTTTCACGAGGAAGGCGTGTCATAGATTCGGTGGAGCCCACGAGAAACATCGACCTTGAATGCATATATTTATTAACACTAACTTCACCAACACAACGTCTCCGATAGTTAACCGGTAAGTAATTGTACTGAACAGGAAGCAATAATAATAATAATAACGATTGATTAAATAGCGAGTTGTTAGATACAAACATAGTGTTAATCCTCTCATCTAGTTCCGAAATGATCGCATTGATGGGATGTCTGAAATAATTACATCCAGTAACGTATGAATTAATAAAAATGTCGGATTTAAAATAAATCTATTATTTCTTTCGAATTTACGATTACATACAGCCAATTCAATTGTAAACAAATTAATATATATATATATATATATATATATATATATATATAAATTATATTTAAAATATATTATTTTCGCTATATTCCAACCATATTTATAAAATAAAATATCTATAAGAACACCGTTTTAATCTTACTTTCTTTTCTTTTATTTATATAATATATATATATATATATATATATATATATATATATATATATATGATATAAAAGGCTCAAACAGTAATATTCCACGGTTAAAATTTTGTTAATTGAATCAGACCATCAGACCTAGAAATTAAATTTTTTGAATTTCGAGGTCTGATGAATTGCATCGTGATCACGATTCCAATGTAATACATTATAAGTATGGAATATTAGTGTTTGAGCCTTTATATTCTTACTCTGTCCTGGACAGTGATTTCTACCTGGATTCTATCCTATTGAAATATATATATATATATATATATATATATATATATATATATATACATATACACCAGTGACCACAAACCTACCTAGGTTTCACCTAAACGTGTCGTCAGGGAAAGTAAGGCTGACGAGGCAAAGAGAAACGCATATTTATAGGCGATAGCTAAAATAATACCACGTGACCAAAGAACCAATATATATTGAACATATATATATATATATATATATATATATATACTGACCACATATATATATATATATATATATATATATATATATATATATATATATATATATATATATATATATATATATATATGTATTATATAAATATATATATATATATATATATATATATATATATATATATATATATATATATATATATATATATATATATATATATATATATATATATATATATATATATATATATATATATATATATATATATATATATATATATATATATATATATAATTAATGTATATTTTGGCAGAAACCTTTATTAAAAATATCTTTTATTGAATACGGCCGACAACGAGGATTAATTAAATTTTAAAGATTTTCCAGCGTCCTCACACACACACACGCATATATATATATATATATATATATATATATATATATATATATTTTTCAACGTTTAGTGGCCGTAAGTCATATAATAACGTTTGAAGTTATATATATATATATATATATATATATATATATATATATATATATATGACTTTATATATATATATATAACTAACTTTAAACGTTATTATATGATATATATATATATGTCTCTCTCTCCTTCTCTCTCTCTCTATATATATATATATATATACATACATCAAAAGTTATTATGTGATTTACGACCACATCGATGTGAAACACCGGTGTATGTATATAAAAATATTTTGTTCTGACTTAGCACAATGGTGTATCACAATCTTTCTAATTCGATTTGGTCTTTCCGCTAAGTTTAGTTAAATAGTTAATACTGGGAGCCACCATTGAAAAGTTTCTTTCAATATTTATATGACGTAATAATATTTATTAGTTATTCTATTGTTAATATTATAACAATATGTATATGTTGCTAACATTATTAGCTATTATTTTGGGAGGGAAATGAGAGGTTTTACGCGCTTCGAGTGCGCTTTTGCTGTATATTCTATTGAAACAATTCTCTATCTCCTGATTTTTCGAAGAGCCTCCTCGGAATGGGCGTAATTTCTATATGAGTAAAAACCCTGAAATTTTTTTGAAGAATAAGAAAGCTGAGATGAACGATGTTAATTCATTTAAATGTGTTTTGCTCTTTCCTTAACAGTTTTGTAACTTTTCTTTTACGATACGTTTTTTAAATATCTCATTTGCACTCGTTTACACACACACACACACATATATATATATATATATATGAAGTGTTGAAACATTCTCTCTCTCTCTTTCTCTCTCTCTCTCTCTCTATATATATATATATATATATATATATATATATATAAGAGGTGTTGAAACTGCAATCTGACCAAGAAACCTTTCTAATAAATTCTGATGTATGGCTATTAGTTCAGATTTATGGAAATACAGGCATCTCTCTCTCTCTCTCTCTCTCACACGCACACACATACACACACACACGCGCAGGGAAAGGTGTACTAAGGTAGCAGACATTCATTAATACATGTTGCATTAAAGTTAACAGAAAACGCATTAATTTTATCTTTTTTATACTAAAGCTGCCTTCTTTCCATCTGTATGAGAATATGTAAGGTCAGGGGTTAGACAATATTAAAATTATATATATATATATATATATATATATATATATATATATATATATATATATATTATGAAGAATATATTACGACACAAAACATTGTCTCCTGGTGAATAGATTTTATTGTGTGTGTGTATATACATACATATATATATATATATATATATATATATATATATATATATATATATATATGTGTGTGTGTGTGTATGTATATATATGTATATATTATAAATTAACTGATTTAAAACATGGTTTCTTCGCTACACAGTAATAACCATGTTTCATAAACTTAAGCTAAAATCTTCAAATTTAAGTTATATAATCAAATTAAAAGCATTAGTTCTGTTTCATCTCCAAGCGATATATATATACATATATATGTAAATATATATGTATATACATGCATATATGTATGTATGATAAGTAATTAATGACGTAATATTATCCGCTTCTTTTTTGTACTTTTTCTAAATAATAATAGCAACAACCACAACAATAGCAATAATAATAATAATAATAATAATAATAATAATAGGACCTGTTAGAATTCTATGGGATTACACAATACACACTGACAGAACAATCAAGGCCAACCGGCCAGATATTGTTATTAAAGACACAAACAAAAAAGCGCCTCCTTATTGATATGGCAGTCCCTGCTGACTGCAATGTATCTTTGAAGATATTCAAAAAGCTGTCAAAATACAAGGACCTTGAAATAGAAATCTCAAAAATGTGGCATATGGGAACATCAACAATCCCTGTTGTAGTTGGAGCCCTAAGAATGGTTGGAAAAGAATCCAGTAGACTAATTGAAGGGATTCCTGGAAGTCCATGCCTCAAAGAGATACAAAAAATTGTTCTGACAAGTACAGCCCACACTTTATCTATGTAAATTTTTTAATTTTTTTTTGGCAGTGGAAAGTGTCATGACGCCATTTCTAACCTTAGGTCACTGGGAGGGACCCGGAAAGAAATGTGTAAACGCCAGAAATCAAAGGTAATAATAATAATAATAATAATAATAATAATAATGATAATTTTTCAATATTAGTTAGTTGTTAATAAGACCAATTTTAGTATTTAAAACATTTAGGCGATATATTCACTTATCTACTTTCTGATATTTGCATTTATTGATTATTATGATGAAAAGAGCTTTGTCGATATAGAATATGTGTGATCTTAGGCGTGACTTTCTTTCCTAAAAAAATGGTCATTGGAAAATATTATGATGCCATTTCTGATCTTAGGTCTCTGATTGGGACCCGGAAAGAATTCGTATACACCAGAAATCAAAGGAAATAAAATAATAATAATAATAATAATAATAATAATAATCAATAAATGCAAATATCAGGAAGTAGATAAGTGAATATATCGCTTAAATGTTTTAAATACTAAAATTGGTCTTATTAACAACTAATATTTAAAAATACGTTTGCAAAATGTTTTTATTGCCATTGTTGTTGGAATAACAGCCATATCAGTGGAAAAAATGTATTAAAGATACTATTTACAACTGTATAGGGGTTCTGGGGTCTTTTTTATGATTACCAAGTTAAGTATAAATGGGATAAAAAGTTATAATTAATAATAACAATTACACTAACAACAGAATTAATAATAATAATAATAATAATAATAACTCACAAGTACAGCCTACACTTTACGGATGGCTTTAACTATGTAAAATATTTTTATTTTTTTAATTTTTATTTTTAAAATTTTTTTTTGTCAGTGGAAAGTGTCATGATCCCATTTCTAACCTTAGGTCTCTGGGCGGGACACAGAAAGAAATGTGTAAACGCCAGAAATCAAAAGAAATAATAATAATAATAATAATAATAATAATTAATAATAATAAGAAGAAGAAGAAGAAGAAGAAGAAGAAAAAGATTTTTATGACATGAGAACTTTTAACAAGAGAAATATATCTAAAGTAAATTGAAACGACAGTAGAAAATTTCCGAGCCAAGATTTGCAAGAATTAAATACAGTAGAATTTGTGAGTTGAAAGACATTTTTTTTCTATTGAGGCAGTCAAACTAAAGTATTAAGCAAAATGTTACGGATTACCGAGATTCACCTGAGAAATTACAGCTTTGAAAATGGCGACAAAATTAAATAAATAAAATAAGAATAAAAATAAAACGAAATAAAAGATGCGCTTACTCATTCGAGCAATTCGCGGAATAATAAAGTGCAAATGCTAAAAAGTTTTTTGTGAAGGGGCTTCAAACAACAAAAAAACAATAATAATAAGAAGAAAAGAATTTAAAAAGAAATGCCTATTTCCGTAGCAAGTTGAAAGATGTGTGCTAATGCAACAACAACACCAACAACAATAATAACCACCACCACCACCACCAATAATAATAATAATAATAATAATCATAGCATCACCATCATTCAGCTAAGTTACAAATTTTATATATATATATATATATATATTAGATCGAAAAACATGTCAAAATCGCCCCACAACTGCAGTCGTATCAAGGCATCTCATCAGGCGAT